GTTAGGTCTCTTTGGAACAGTTTCATGGATCTGGATGAAATTTGGAGTAGATATAGAACATATTCTGGAAAAACACTTTATAAGTCCCGTGCAGACAAGTCAAGGGCTAAAACTAGTATTTTATATGCCAATGGATAAGCCTGAGCCCCATAGTACAGATTAGTTGACGAAGTGACTGGTACCATTTAATAACAAAAAATAATAAGGAGTTTTTACTTTCTAGTTACAAGAATTGTTTTTAAAATAATCAATGATTTATTGTAAGGTACCTTGCCATAGATTGCATTACCAAAATATGCGTACAAAAATATGTTAAAAATAATCAAAACTAATTGTTACAATTAAAGTTATGATAATATAAATTTATCGTCGTCATAACTATTCTACAAATGTTTTGTCTAAAAGACAAATTTTATTTATCTGTCGGAATTCTGAAATAATAAAAATAATATATTGATAAGAATTAATTGTACAATAGTCGTAAATTTCAATAGACGTAAATTATCCGTTTTATATACTGTCTTCCCCATATATTAATTTACTCGTGTTTCAGCTCAAACCAAACTTAATCATCTTCCTTCTTATCCTATTTCCATATAGTCAGAGATACAACACAAGGATTCGACAAGGATAATAAGCCTCTATTTTGTCACTATTTAAAAGGTGGCAACCCCCACTCTTGCCAGGATAAAGATAGGCAACCCCACCTTAGAGTCATGTTTACGTTACGTACTATCAATTGGTGACAAAATTTTCAGGAAACTCGATGAGGGGTTTTTGCTCCAAAAATTGCCCACTTCAGAGATCAATTAAACATTTTGTTTATTTATTTAATTATTTTTCCCGTTCATTCATTTTAAAGATATTGCGAAGGAAAAAAACAAAAATTGGAAAAGAATTACAGAATAAAATTAACACATTATTCAATATATCAACATAAAAGAGACATATGTTCACGATGTGATAACAAAAAGCGATAACAGTTATCATTCTAATCGACCTCTAATGACCTTTAATAATTATTAATCCACGACTATTTCACTTGTATTATTAAATTTAAATAACTAAGAATGTTACTCAAGGCTGAAACGATAAGCTACAAATACAATAGATTATACTATAAAGTGATAACTCCTAGAGTCTTAATCATCACCACCTCACTATACGTCCCCACTAAGGGGTTCGGAGCCTACCCTAAGTTAGGGTGATTAGAGTCTTAATATATTCCGAAAATTTCAAAGCTTTATTTATATAGACAACTAAGTTTTCAATTATAATATTGTCATATTAAACGAAGTAAGGGAAATCATTGGCTCCTTTAATACAGGGAATCAACAAAACACATACTTATAAAAATAAGAAATTAAAAAAAAAAAGTGAAATGTACTTGTAAAATTATATATGAACTGTAATACTGTACTTTGTATAAATAAATAAAAAAAATGACGTTTTATTTATTTGGATCCAACCGGCATTGGTCCAGCGTGGTTGACTATGTCCTTGTGATCCTAGTGACTACTAGAACGATAGTCAAATTTAACTTACAAATTACTTTGCTACGTATTTTCTAAGAATCGAGCGTATATTGCGAACTTTATAAAATAAAGATAATAAACATATTTAAATACTACACGACATTCTTGTAACAGTACGAAATAAGAACATTTTAAATTTATACAATAACTACGACAAACGAAACGTAAAACAATAAAAAAAATACATATGCATTATACCAAGGATGTGATATTGCCTGTGAAGTTGAAATTACCTATATCCTATTGCTTTGAGAGGGCCGCCAGCACCACAGCCGGATGTATTGATGTACCAATTGAAAACAATCAGCCGATACACCGCTTGGCCACACAGACACGGCGCTTGTTTAGGAAACACTCCTTTCAACACCTCTATGAATCTACGATTTATTTATTTTATCTATGTCCTAAGAAATTACTGTTTAGTTTTATTTCTAGTATCCCATATTGTAGTGGGGTCTGCGGTACTAATCTGTCTCTCCCGCTTTGCTGTGGTATTATTTTATTATATTTTACTTCTTAAGAATGTTATGTGTAAAAACAGTTACTGTGCAAAGCATTATAATAAGAAATCATTATAATAATAAGAGAAAAAATAATAAAATGAAAGTCCTTGAACAATCACCAATGTTACCACATCGGCCCTTAGTAATCTCAGTATTTAATAATAAAACTTTCTTTATTACCTACGTGTTTTAATTTAATCTTTATCCGGCATTATTGATAAGCTACTAACGTGAATTGGAATTATTTTTTAGTAGCGATTGCACCCAATTCGTAATTGCAGAACATAAAAACAGCCTGAGTTACACACATAGCCTAAGGTAGGTTATGTGCATGCTAACCAAGAAAAAGTCACGTAAAAATCGATCCAGCCAATTCGAAATTTATGGGGAACTTACATATATGCGGAGAGACATGACAATTTCTTTTTTTTTATAAAGAAACTAAAGACGTAAGAAAAACTTTATTTTATCTAATGCATACTTTAAAATCTAAATAATAAATTTTATTTCATACATCATTATATTGATATATTAATTTAATAGTAAAATCAAATAAAAACTCGAGAACCGATAACTCACTAGTTAATAATCTTTACATTTTGACATTTATTCATAAGATATAAAAAATGCTACAAAAAATCCTTAGCGACCGACCGAAAATATATCTCACTATTATTAATAGAAAAATTTGGATGGATGGATGATGGATGGAAACAAAACGAGACTGAATAGTTGTGCGATAGTTTTATTCTAAAGACTAACTGTTCCCGTGCGACTTCATCCGCATAAAATTATGATTTTTTTTGTTGTTTACATGTGTCAGATTATCAATTGCAAACGTCAAAATGACATGACATTATGACAAACCATGGCAATCTTGATGTTGACAGCAACTTATGGACTCTTTCCCACATTAGGGTTTTTATCCAAAATATTTACCCCCAAAGTTCAACAGCGTGAAATATATAGCCTAAAGCGTGACGTAAGTGTAGGGCTTTTTATTAAAAAAAGAATTCTTCAAAAATATGGTGTAGTTGCTGGCATCTTAGGCAACAAAGAAGTGTGTGTTTACGCTTTATTATAATAGTATAGATTGTATACAGGTAGACATTACATATATCCGTTACTGTGAGGTCATTCAAGAATATCTAATCAATTGATTTTCGGTCCATAAATCCTTGACAGATAAAATATTTTAGATAATAAACATGTAAATCCGTATGCATTACATCGTTCAATAGCACCATTTGTTTTAAAATGAATTTGTTTAACAAACTCTTCAAATCGATTGTGATTCTTTATAAATAAAATGTTAGATCTAAAGCAGAGTAAACATTCTAAAGAACAAATTGCGTCATCTTTGTATATGCAATTTAAGATTCTGCAATGATACATGCCAAGAAACATAACTAACGTAAGTGTGAAGTTAGTGTAAATAATCGTCATGCATTGATTTATAACCTATTATCTTTATCCAGCGGAATTAAAAACTTAGTAAACATTCTATTTAGACCGTTTTCAACATCTGTGTCAAATTTTATCATGATCAGTTAAGACGTTCTGGAAATAGCTACACTATCCATACACCTATGTAAGTAAGAATACATCTTTTTAAAAAGTAAAATAAGTTACATAGAGATTTTCATACTAATTAATGACTAATCAACAGTTTATTTAACACTGTAACTTATAACTAATGCTAAGGGTTTATTTCTATAAAAGGCCTCCGGATTGTTATGGTGACTGAATGCCCACTGTGTGCCTTAAAGAGGCATTTACAGATTCAGCGGGCTTGAGGTGGCCGAGCGCAGATGGCGCTTAGCCTAAACCTCGTTAATGAGTAACTAAGCTCGAGGGCTCCCTCAGCCTCGGCACGAGCCGTTACTTCGTTATTATTACCGGATTGGGAGGCCACCGTGCTCTTAGATTGCTTCGGTGGACGATCCATGGAGTGACTAGGCACAAGAGCCCAGGCCTTCGGAGGTCATTTACTTAAGTATTTACCTATCTTACTAATTTTATAAATGCGAAGGTTAGATGGATGTATGTTTGTTAGTTTGCCGCCAAAACGGCTGAACGGATCTCGTTGAAATTTGTCATAAATGTAGAGTATAGTTTGGAAAATACTATTGTTTTTTTTATAATCCTCGAGAACGGAATCTCTTACATACATGGCTATTCTTTGTTATGGGCATATATTCAGAGACATGTATTTGTCAGAAAATGTTGTAGTTAATTTAGATCGTAATTATTCCCAAATACCACAACTCTATTGTAATTAAAATTATTTATTTATTTAACAGAATATTTAGAACATAATAATAATCGCTAAGAGAACATAAAGAAAATATATAACGTAACTTATCAATGTAAATTAGTTAATTATTTATTTACATGTAGTCGTTGATATTGTAATATAGCGTGTACTACGCAGAGTAAACATAAACAATGCTTGTTATAACAAAGGCGAGAACAAAGAATTTCCTTCATATTTTTACAATAATGAACTGTAAATATTACAAATTCTTTTATGTGTAATTACAATATAGTTGTAAAATGCAGATGTCAAATTCAATCTTGTTTATTCTAAACTCTATGGCATTCAAATATGAGGTTTTATTAGATAGTTATAAAGTTGAAGTCGGTATAACATAGCATCTATTTATTTTTAAGAAATTCTATTTATTATATTATTAATTGTTTTAATTATAAAAAGCTATATAACTTATAAAATAGAGTTTAGTAAGAGTTACCAACTAGAACTAAGCACTAAGCACACTTAAGTAAAAGTTTTCCGCAATACATCAAGGTTTATCACCTTTGTATTTGACAAAAACACAAATATCGTTACGTTTAAAAACATTACTAACTCTTAACTTTTTCCATGAAAATTGTCATTATATTTTTGTAAAAAAAGATGTTTTATAAGTCGATACAATTTTTTAATAATATTAGAATTTACCTTTATTGATTCCTAAACTGACGGTGCATGTGATATTGGAGAAATGGATATCCACTGGGTCCCTTTGCGGGATTTTAGCGATGGTTTGTCTGAGGCCTTGAGGTCCTTGGGGAGAAGGGCTAGGAGTGTGGGAGGAGCTGACACTAGGCCTCACTGATATATCAGGCCTATAGGCCACACTCTGCTCGTCCACGATTTGCGCGCCTGCGAGCATCATGGTGCTGCGGTTGTGCGCTACAGACGTGTGAAGCGCGCGAACGCGGCCACTGTAATGTTTATGCGCGTGCGCTTGTCTTCGACCGGCTATCGGGTCGCTTTTGTCTCACAAATTACACGAATTGATGTGTCAATATTTTTGTTTTATGACGAGAAAAATTGTCATTTATTTACTGTAGATCAAAGGTCTACGAGCTTTTGTTGTAGCAGGTAATCTTTGCTTAAGTTATTTTTGACTCACGACAAAAAAGATAGAATTGGCAATAGGAAAAAAGTGATGTGTGGATTTGTAAAATGTATAAATAGTTAGATGTGTAGATTCTCTATGAAGCTGTAGATTTCCAACAAAAACAATTGAACAATAACATGCCCTATGTAAAAAAAAAAACAAAGACAATAAACCCAGTGTAAAGCGTCGTGTACTTATAATTTTTAATCAAATCGAAATCAATAAACATCCAATTGTATACACAAAAGTGGAACTTAGTGTAATAAACAACGTGTTTTGTTAGTTACCCAAATAATTATTTCAATTTAAGCACAGCCGTGTTGTGGAACAGTCTGTCCTCGGCGGTATTTCCAAACCAATATGACTTAGGGCCCTTCAAGAAGCGAGCCTATCATTTCCTCAAAGGCCGGCAACGCCTCTGTAGTTCCTTTGATGTTGCGGATGTCCATGGGCGTCGTTGACCACCTTGGTGTTCACGCCGCTCGTTTGCCCCCTTTTATAATAAAAAAAGCATGCATGTTTGCAAAAACAAAATAGGTTTAGGTATGCGTTAGTGTGCAGATAACATCAATTTTAACTCTTAAACTACGGAAACATCTTTTACAGATTAAATAGGAATTTTAAACTATGTTAGTATTTTATTAGTTAAATATAACAGAAATAGCTGACGATCCTTACGTCATGCTTGTTTATGGAAGGTAGCGTTCAGATACATTGACAAGTCACGTAAACTATAAGATACTGTAGTCTTATTTATCTGCCAGGAGCTTGAAGTATTTGTTTAACAACAGCATTAAACGTAGAATCTACGTTATCATTTATTTTTCAAAATTATACCTCTTTTGGTTGTTTCTCGTTGGGCCAAACAACCCTATATGTAAGATAATATTATAAAGAGGAAAACTTTGTTTGATTATCAAGAATAGAGTCAAAGACTACTGCATCGATTTTAAAATTCTTAGAAAGGCAATTATCTGTGAGTAGTATAGGATATACTTTTTCATTTCTTTTTATTATTTTTAAATTTCTCGCGAATGGAGTCGAGAGCAAAAGCTAGTATAAAAAAAATCTCAATGGATAACCTAAAAGGAAGAACCGTTTTAGTTCTGTTCTTGCTAATTTATTTATTTTTAATACGAACTCTCGGTATTACTTCGCATTGCACACCCCGGCAAAGTTTTACACATATAAAAACCAGTTGTTATAGATACTCTTAAACTAAAGCTTGTAATAAAAAAATGTACAACTTCCTTATCTGTAAGCGATTCTATATTTAACGTGATTTATGACAATTATCATAATTAACTACAAAAACAAATATCAAAGCAAGACTCGTTTTTCTTCATAGTTATTGTTGGTTTCAACTGTTTCACGCGTGTTTACAACTATTATATCTTTCATCCTATTTGATATAACAGATAAAAATACGGTTATTTTTGTAGTGGAAAAAAAATCGTATAAGTAAAGAAACATGCAAACTAATTGAATCTTTATTTAAAATAACTAACTCACTTGTGTAAAGTGTGAAAATAAGAAAAGGATAGAGAACATTTATCAATTTAAATTGGAAACTAACGATAACACTAGGAAATTGAGTAGAATAATTCATACGTATACTCTTTGTCATCTACTACAAATCTAGTTGTTAGACGTAAAAGAATAAATAACCTTACCCTTGGATGCTTTAAGGTATCATTTTGTATTTCCTTAAATATATGATAAATTTATTTCAAAACAATTGCCGCAAAGTTTCTCTGAATTATAACCGCGAATTTCAGAATAACAGCCGTTTCTGTGACAAATGCGGTTCACATAGTAGCTTTTCAAGTCATACGATTTCTATTGCGTGTATACAAGACTTAGGAATATTTTTTGCGATGTTTATATTATATTGCATATATTTATATTAATTTGATCTAATTTGCCCTGAGGCATAAAAGTCACGTAGACAAAAGTTATGGTAATTTTGTCTACCAATTAAACTGTCCTTATTGTTTTAGTTTCAAATAATTGTTTTTGAAAATAGATTTATTTAACTAGTCCCAATGTTCATCTGTTATTTTTTTATTTATTAAATTATAACAATTATCAAAGTCAAAACTATTTTTAATAAACTTCCTGGTTTCTAATTTATTATTTACAATTTGTAAGTGTTATCATATTTACAATTATTGCCTAAATAAAACTTGTGTTTACATTCTGTTCGAAAAATTTATTTGATATAGTGACATCTATTGGCATTTTTAGGAAACTCTTTTGAGAACAAGTGTTTTAGTTTTTAATCTATCTGATAGATGGCGCTGGCAGATCCAGTTCAAGAAAATTATAACATTAAATTATACAAGGCAAAGAAACAAGTAAAAAGTATTTACAATTACCTATATAACTTGAATAAACTACTTTTATTTTATACAAAACTATTAGAAAAAACGTTGATTGATTTTTACCTAAGCCACAGACTACCAAAAATGCGATCTTCCATTTCCACGTATTTTAGTTATTATTAGTAAGTACTTGATGCAGAATAATTAATCATAGTTTAGTTTTCCGCGCAAATTATGGCAGCAATATAAGTAAAGTAGTAAAACAGATTGATATTAAAACTACAATTTTTAAAATATAAAAAATGTTAAATAACAAAATTATTTATAATATGTAAATTTGTGTTGCATAGAAAACCACAAAAACCTGGTCAAAAAGTAAATTTTATTGCAAACGCGTAACAATGTTTTATGTCTGGTTAGAAACAAAAATAATTTCTCTTAGCATTTTTCATTGTTGCAGAAACCTTACAAAGCATTCTCTCACATTTAAATACAAAAACAAAAAATACATTATAAACCCGTAATATTGTAATAACAGGAAATAATATTTTTTTGTCTAAACCTTCACGTTTCCAAAACCACTAGCCGTGTAGTGGTAGGTTATCAACGCACTTTCCTTGCGCTATGTTTGACATTACTCTGACCTTGGCAATGCCACGCATCAGTGAGATCAACAACAACGGAGAGATGAGATATGTTTTGGAATGTATTAACATTTGTAAATTAAAACGATTGGGGATTGAGGAATTCTATTTCCTATCCATTTTAGTTGAGTATTTAACGGTAAACAGAATACTTGCATAAAAAAACATTATATGATTAGTTCTAAGTTCACGATTATTTACATACGAAAATGAAGCAGAGTGTAAAAACGAAACAAGTTTGTGGGAATTGAATTTAATTCCTTGGCTGCACAAAAGTAGTCTAAAACACCAAGTGGTTCCGCGTTATGTAACGTCAGCTTACTTGTTTCCGATGGAATTAAACTAGTTTTGTTTTTCAAAGACCTGTTTTGAATTCGCTAATTTTAATGTCTGATTTAAAATGGCTGGATATATCAGATTTTTTGTAACCTTAGCAGTTTCTAGCTGTTTTGTTCTTCTGTGTTATAAATTATTAATATTAATTATAATTAAATCTTTTACTTTTAAAATAACTCTAATTATTTAAGAACCTACATGTATGTTATGGTTATGTATAACTAGCTGTATATTATGATAATTTCATTTTATTGTTTACAATTGACAAATTATCAATTGCAAATGTCAAAATGACATGACCTGACAAACCTTAGCAATCTTGCTATTTTGATGTTGGCAGCAACTTATGGACTCTTTCCCACATTAGGGTTTTTATCTAAAATATTTACCCTCAAGTTTAACGGCGTGAAAATACATTGCCAAGTGTAAGGCTTTTTATTCAAAAACGCATTATTCAAAAACATGCTATGATTGCTGACTTATTGAGCAACAAAGAAGTGTGTGTTTACGCTTTATTATAATAATAATAATAATAATAATAATAATAATAATAATTCATTTATTGTCTCTTTTGTATACATTTCATGAAAGTCTTGGCTCCTGTAGTAGGT